GCAAAGATTTTCCAGTTTGTGTACCCTGAGAACTTACAGAAAAGCAGCAACCAAAAGTCAACACAATGTCTTCTCTGAATACAAAAGTCAACACAATGTCTTCTCTGAATACAAATGTTTGCTTTACCTGATAACCATAACTTGATCAGCTAGATGAAAATTAATCTTTCTTGCCTCCAGGTATTTGAGGTTCAAGAAAAACACTTTGGAGTCGAACAGGCCAAAAGTCAAAGACAACTAGAACAAATATTTACTGAGCATACCATTAAAAAAGTAAACAGTTATTTCCTGAATCTAATTCATCAAAGAAATATCTTTCAAAGAAGTTAAGGTTATGGAAGCTAGAGAGTTTCCCCCAAAGGAATAAAATCTTAGTAATTACTCAACATGCTCTCAATATGTTAATGGAAGAATCATATGTAGAACCAAGTAAGGCTGAATGGTGTTGCATAAGAAGCCTGAAATAATATATTTAAAGCTGGTATTGTTCTGATATGGGAAGACAGATCACATATACTGAAGACTTCTGAAGTCTAGACACTGACATAAAAGCTATATACTCTGGTATATATGCCAGAGTCTATACTGGGGGAAAAATTCATTTTTAAATATAAAGAATTCACTGAGAAAAGTGGTATATATGTGTGCATTGTTTTGTCTCAAGGAAAAAAAATGCTTGTGGATATCTATTCAAGATGGGTAAGAAATTCTAGAACTTTCAGTGATTCTTATTGAACAGGTTAGGTACCTTCATATCATCAGGGTTACTCCCTCTACTCTATCAATCAGAAAACAAACAAAAAACAACAACCTAACAAAAACAAACAGCCAAAAAAACAAAAACCAAAAACTGTGAACTCAACTGCATGCATTTTCTTCTTCTCAAGAGATAGCCATATGATTTAGCATTCACATCCAACAACTCAAATTAATTATTTTGGCAGAGACTTGATTACCAATAACATTTCCTTCTCAAATCAATTATTCCACAACCTCAAAACTCATACTAATATTAAATGAAGTAACTTGCCTGGCTACCACTACCAACAGTTCTGACCAGGGACACAGGGTTCTGCATAGAAAGGGAGAAAATTATAGAGCAAAACTCAAATTCTTAAAAAAGGGCAGACTTACTGGACTAGTAGAGACTAGAGGAACCACTGAGACTATCACCTTGAGACACTCTGTAAATTTTGAACTTAAACCACTCCCATAGGTTTGCTTTCAGCTAAGTATCAGATTGGCACATAAAATAAATACTATCACTCAGGAGTGCTGTGCTCCTTTACATTAAAAAAAAAATCATCTATAGGAGACCAAATCATCAACATTTAATCTAGATTAATGGAAACAGAACAATCAGGATGGAAATAATGAGAATGTTGACACAATGTGGAAAAAGTAACCAATGTCACTGAACAATACATACAAAACTAAAAAACTCGTTGCTGTCGAGTCAATTCCGACTCATAGCGACCCTATAGGACAGAGCAGAACTGCCCCATAGGGTTTCCAAGGAGCACCTGGTGGATTTGAACTGCTGATCTTTTGGTTGGCAGCTGAACTCTTAACCACTACGCCACCAGGGTTTCCAACAATATGTATAGAAACTATTAAGTGAGGACCTAATTTGTGGCAAAAATTTTCACGAAAAACACAATAAAATATTTAAATATATATATATATATACACACATATATATGTTATATAAAGTAACTGATTTGATTCAGTCAAATATGTCTTATTTCATTGTGAGTACTGGTGACTAAGATGTGCTCACTGACCAAAGTCCACCTGAGGTACCAATGAGGTGGCAAATTTAAGCCTTAGATTGGAGTTGCAGCCAGGGCACACAGGAAAATGACAACTTTTTTTTTTTGCTTATAACGCTTTTGCTTTTAATCTTCCCCTCCCAGATAGCTGTTGTTTGGGGGAAAAAAAAAAGAAGAAAGAAAAAGTTCTAAATTGCTCATAGGCTTTGAATAGTTCTTGCCACATAGTTGGTTGAATTCCTAATTCAGTCATAGTTTTTCTTTGGTTTTTGTTTTTATCAGAGAAGAAGTCTTTTATGTTGATTCACAAAAAAGTGAATACATGAGGGGTTTTGTAGCTTCAAATAGGACTGTGTTTATCACATAAAAAGAAAAACAAAACAAAACAAACAACCAAAAAAAAAACTGCCATCAAGTCAATGTCAACTCATGGCCACTCCATGTGTTACAAAGAAGAACAGCTCCACAGGGGTCTCCTCACTGAAACATTTACAGAAGCAGATCACGGGGAGTTTCTTTCACAGCACCCATGGGTGGGTTTGAACAGCCAAACTTTAAGTTAGTGTTATTGTTAGGTGCCATCGAGTCAGTTCTGACTCATAGAAACCCTTTATACAACAGACTGAAACACTGCCCAGTCCTGGGTCCTTAAGTTAGTAGTCTAGCACAAATCATTTGCTCCATCCTGTATATATCACTTAAACCCATTGCCGTCAAGTCAATTCTTACTCATAGCGACCCTATGGGACAGAATAGAACTGCCCTGCATAAGGTTTCCAAGGAGCAGCTGGTGGCATTTGAAGTGCTAACCATATGGTTAGTAGTTGTAGCTCTTAACCACTGGGCCTCTGGAGCTCCATATATCATTTAAAAACAAAAAAAAACAAACCCATTGCCATCGAGTTGATTCCGATTCATAGCAACCTGATAGGAGAGAGTAGAACTGCCCCACAGGGTTCCCAAGGAGGGGCTGATGGATTTAATCTGCCAACCTTTTGGTTAGCAGCAAAGCTCTTAACCACTTTGCTATATATCACTTACTCCCTAATAATTCTAAGATCTCCACGTGGAATATAAATGTGTTTTGAAGTGGTTGTATAGTGGTTCATAGTTATTCTAACTTTGAGAAATGGATTTACCAAAGATAAATTATTTCATGTATTTTTATAATAATAGAAATATTAAGAGAATGTTTTAATCTGCAAACCCAACAAATATAACCTGTCCAATTACATCCTAAATTAACTTAAAAACAAACAAACAAACAAAAAACTTGAATGACAACAAAACAACAAAGTAAAGATAAATCTGAGCTATAATATTTGCATTTTGGGAAATTTATATGAGATGGAAAGTTTTGCTACAAATGGATTTGAGCCATAAATATACTTTTAATGAAAAATGTTCAATTAAAGCATATGGTTTTCTTTGAATATGTCTGACAAGAAAGCCTTTTATTTGTTTAAAACTAAAAAAGCGTTTTAAGATGTGTTGTACTTTAAGTTCTAAGTCTCTGTTTTATGGGACATTCTCTCACAGAACTCAATCAATTTAGCCCTCATCTGTGGAGAGAGTTGACAGCTAGCCCTGAAGTACCTAATTGGGTTTGACATCGCACTTACCTGCTTGATTTGTGGTTACATTTACAGACACATACTGCCGGAATCCTGGGCTCAAGTCGGACACTCCATTCACTGCCTCAATCTCAAAGGTATAGTTTGTGTGAGCGAGTAGATCCACCATCATGACAGAGGTGTTTTTCAGGCCGATTTGCCGGGGGAGGTACCTGACATGACCGCCACACTCCTCACACACACCTGCATGGGAGTTGCACTTCTTGCATGCAATATAATATGACACATCTTTCCTTCCACCAGTGTCAGCAGGAGGAATCCATTCCAGAAAGACACTAGTTTCATTAACATTTGAGATGGCATTCCGAGGAGCTGAGGGGGGTCCTGGTTTGCAAAGTAAAGTGAAAAAAACATATTTTAAGATGGTATAATTAGGCATCTTTTACCCCACCATTCCCTGGTCTGAAGAAAAAAAAAAATTCCAACCATTTAATCAGGGAGGATGTAAGAGCCATCAATTTGTAATAAACTTTGAGAAATTTTGTTAGAATTTTATAGCGACAACAGGAGGATTTATGCCCTATAGTAATGACTAATCATGGAATTGTTATAACACTAGTTTAGTAAAAGCAGATTTTTTTTACAGTATATGTAATTATGGAATAAAGCAATGCATGTACGAATAACGTTAGATAAAAGTTATGTATTTAAAAGAATGGCAGGTAGATCTCCTCGGGGATTGGACTGATTACTTTCTCATTGGTATTAACCCCTGTAACCTAAGAAGTAACTATGAAGGGTTACTAAGCACAGGAAAATAAGATTTTTCAGTTGTGGCTCTTTATTACAAATTCTGCAGCTAGTAAAAATGCCCTTAGCTTACCTCAAAATAGATAGCATATCTACTTGATAAATCACCAACAGTATTTGAAACATTCCCTAATGTGTCAAGAAATCACTCGAACTTAAGTAGTTGGTCAACGTTACAATCTGTAATTGCATTTCTTTTACTGTTAATATTGCTTTACTATTATGATCCTATGAGTTGTGAATTTTACTTAATTGAATATCTGGAATTTATTGCGAAAATAAACCTCAAAAGTACTATAACAGAAGGAATGAAATTGTTCAGTTCTTGAAAGAGCAGCAGAACAAATTTCAATGTCCAACAACCTACCGCATAATGTGGGGGAATGCATTCAACTCATACATTTCAGAAAATCATAACATCTTAAAATATTACGATGTAACTTTCCTAACTTCATGAAGTATTCCTTAGGTACTTTATTTTT